AATTGATATAACTTTTTCGTAGGATAAGGTAGAGAGCTCGGGGTAGTTTCAAATTAAAGCTAATGTCAGTGCGCAACTTTTGTTCGACCAGAATTTTGAAATTCAATTCCATTCATTTTTTGTGAGCATTTTTGGTGACATGGTCCAAAAATCAGCATAAAAAATGGTGGTCCAACGACAGTAAATTCCACTTTTCTCACCCTGGAATCAAATATCAAAAATCCGTTCGAACAAAAGTTTACTCTCCTTCAGACCTTTAAAACAAAAAAAAAATATTGGGGTATAGCCTGAGTCTGGAAGGAGGAGTTCCTATTTTTCTGATTGGAAAGTATGTTCGGAGAAAAACGATAAACAAATTTAGAAATAGATTTTTTTATTCAAATCCAGAGAAAATCATAGTACAATTGGATATTACTAATTCATTCCAGTGGACCATTTTAAAGCACGTAAGAGATGAAGGTAGCTAACGCCATCTGACATGCTCGCTCATATAAAAATGTTCTACTCAATGCTTATGCAAGTGGCAACCCAGTTTTTCCAAAAGTGAAAACCTTGAAAAACCACGAAAATTTCTTGGAAAATATGGTGGTAGAATCAAAGTTTCATGTGATAAGTCTTTGAAAATCTGGTCACTTTTCAAAAGACCATAGATATTCTGAAAGAGGAAGCTTCGCTGCATCTTCCTATGATAAAAACTCAACTTCGATATCTCTTTGAAAAATTTTATTTTTTGAGGAGGCCCCCTTAAGTCATAAAGTCAGTTGTTTTCCCTTTGTGAATTACCCTATTCCAGAATGTTTTCTGGGTGATCCATAGTTAATTGACTGAAATCAGAGGTCTCTGGAAAATCTTTGTATCTCTTGAATCGAACAAGCTAGAAGGGTGAGCCATGCGTAGATCGAAAGAGAACAATTTTTCTACCAGAAATATAAATTAACAATTGAGCCAAGTTGCGAAATGGGTCCAAAGTATCGTGCTCAATATGTTCCTCGAAAATGCATCCAATTGGTCTATTGCTGACCACTCAGATTTTAGCATATATTGATGTGCCTGGATCTTCTCTTTTTATTGGTGAAAATCGCAACTCACTTACCTTGCTTCTATCAAAAGTTATTCGAAAAATATCCACCCGCCTTTTTTTTGAAATGGGCAATACTTATATTCTATGCGTAGTTTGGTAAAATCATTGTTTTTGTACCATTCTCAAAGCGTATATTGATATATTAACATGTGAATAGATTTTAGATGAATATTGACTAACATCCTCTTTCAAATATTCTGAGTTATTGATGACTTTGAACGGCTTTCGTGATCTAAATGATCTAAATGATCTAAGTGATCTAAATGACTTTAAAGTCATAAAAGTCAGTTATTTCCCCCTTGGTAGATACACAATAGATGTATAAAAGTATAATAAACATTGAACAATAGAATAAAAAAAATCAAGATGAGACAAGTGACAGTTATACAATAAATTAAATAATTATTTATATCTGTTATTAACTGTAAGTTCCTGCAATAGCGTTGATTGAAGCGCGTCACGGCCTCTACATGATTATAACCATAATACATAATAAATACCTTTTATTATATAGAAAAATACGAAAGAATAAAAAATGCCAAAAATAAAAAAAATCTAAAATTTCATTATGAATTTGAGACCAAAGGACTATAGTGATTTCTGATGATTTCAAGTGATTTCTGGTGATTTCTAGTGATTTCCAATGATTTCTAATGATTTCTAATGATTTCCGATGATTTCTAGTGGTTTCTGATGATTTCTAATGATTTCCAACGATTTCTAATGATTTCTAATGATTTCCAATGATTTCAAATTGATTTCTGTTATTAGAAATCAGTTTGTTCCCCCTTGTGTGAACGTGTTCGAAAACCAAAACGCGTGTAAATATGTTCCTATTGAAAACACATTAATATACATTTTCTGGCTTTTCTACTTATAATACTATTATGAAATAAACCGGTTTACTTTATTCTCAAAAAAGTCAGAAAATAATCATCACTTTGTGTTGGAACCAAACTGGAGATTAGCACTTAGACTGTATCACTATCATTAAAATATAATTAAATTGGATTTGATTTAACAGATTAATCATATAAATCAGTAGAACTATGATAATAGATTGTTATCTGCAAATCTTTTATTAAAAATATTTAATTTTTATCGAAATTATATGTCTCGTTCTACATTACTTCTAAAACACTGAAGAATGGGCAGATGGTAGATTATAATTTTAAAGTTGTTGGTCACTTCATCATTTATTTCTTAGACAAATAAATAAATCATTCGAATATGATAGTTTTATTTTCTCAGAATTTCACGAGTGCATTTTTCAAATAGAGTTGTTGATTTATCTTTATTGTGCTCTATAATAAAATGACTCGAAATGAAACTTAGATTCATGCAATAAAGATAAATACATTATGGAATTTTATTACTTACAAACACAAAGATAAACAATTTTTTAAAATTTATGTTTTTAAGAAAAAAATAAATGAATATTTTATTCATAAGAATAAAGAAAGTTAAATGAAAATGACAATTTATTTTTAGATAAAAACCTAATATTTTATTTTTCCCCAGATACCTAAAAAGTCTTGATGTCATAATCACAAAAAATTACGTAGACAAGAATATTTGCATATATTTTTTCTTCTACTGTCTTCAATTTTTATTAACATTGAATATTGAAATGCTAGTAGTAAGAAAGAAATGTACATTAATGCTTTTATACCACATATTTATATATTTATTCATCACAGAGCAAGATTTTTTTATTCTGTAATTTTATTTTTTTAATATAAAAAATTTATTTCTTTATTTAAAGTTTTTCTAAATATCAAGAATATATTTATTTTGATTTTTTTTTATAAATATATTATTTATATTTATTTCATGAAGTAAAAAGATAACATCTCTATTCACAAAGTTGCAGTAAGTAGTGTTATACGAACTAATGATGCAATTAATGAACATAGAAACAAGTTTGAACTGTGTTTAGCTCAGAGCTAGTTGTGTTCGGTTCGTAATTGACTGATCGTGTATTCAAATCTTCGTTCAAGCTGTGATTGGAAAAATTATCACTCTATTATTCATAGGATTTGAGTGTTACAGTAGTTCTATACAGTTGATGTACGAGTGGATCAAATCGCATTGAGAATTGTTCGATGCAAAGTTTATTTATCATAAAACAGATCTCTGTAAGAGAAGCGTTTGTTCGTTAGGTTTCAATTACATGAAATCGTCAACATGTATTCCTCTGATTCTTGTTCTAAAATGTAGTGAAAGAGCTACTTTTTCATGCAAACTGGATAATCTTTCCGTTTTGTTTTAGTTTCACAAACAATGTGAAACAAGTACATAAAAATTTGCGTTCTGTTGATGAAAACACATCGTGACTACTTGACAACTAAAGTAACTGACGTCTCTTCATTATCACTAGTGTGTTGGAAGCTATTTTTCCAACATACGGAATAAATACTGATTAATTGTTATTACCATAGAAGTAACGAAATCAGTTGCCATTTTACCAAAGATTTCTGCTCAGTGATTGTTGTATCTTAAGGTGCATAGAAATTATAGTGGAAGGTTGCTACTAGAAGCCTGTTTAATTGATTGAACTACATTTTGTTGAAATAATCTACCACACAATAATGGATAAACGGATCAACAGACCTATGTCAATTTCCAGTATTGATAAAATTTCCGAAGACTCCGTCTCAATCAATTGGTTAGATGAGCAGGATTCATTATTTGATGATGAATACCCATCAGCAATACCAGTATATAGTAAATCAAATATAGTATCACGAACGAACGACATTCAAAATTTGATTGATAACAACATTGGATGGCCTAATTCAATGAATGGTCTCGCAACCTTTATAAGTCATGGCAATGAAATATTGTCGAAGTATAGTACACTTCTCAGATAGTTGTTTTAAAGGCTAGATTGACAATAAGGATATATAAAAAATCTGTTCGATCAAGTTTTATCTCTATAGTCCACATAGAGTTTCTTAATCTGAACCAGTTTTGTGTGTGGGTATCGAAGAAAACTCAAGAAAACATTCCTTTGAATACATTATCATGATTTGCACTATTGCTGCAATCGTGATTCGATGGAAATGAATGCTATTCAAAACCGAAATAAACAGTAATAACTATCTGCATAGTTCAACTACAACATCTACATTTAGTTTATCCAGTGTCTTTGTAAGAAATCATCAGTGTTTTATCCATGTTTTCTATTTTGGAGGGGCGATTTGAACCTTCGGGGGGAGCAAAAGCATACACCGTCACGCAAGGACTATTTATTCCGAATGGGGAGAATGAGGAATGAACACAACCAGATTTAAGAAACATCAAGAGATCTTTCGTTTTTCGGCAACTTCTTGTATCAAATATTGAGAGCATTCTCTATCAATACCGTTCAGAGCTCTCAGCATACAACTTGTATTTGAGAAAATAATTTGTCATATAGTGCTCACATAAGAATAACCAATATCACGATTTCGAATAAATTTTGTTGCCGATTTCATGCATTGTTCTTTCTACTATTCATTGGAGAAAAAAAAGACTTTTATGCTCTCGATAACCCATGCCAGCAAGAAAAAGCTGAGAATTTAGAAAGTATTGAAGCAATGTTTTATTCGAAAAACATCCAGTTTGATATTATCAGGAAGAAGTTCTATGCCTATTTAACAGAGATTACCAACTACCTATCTTAAATACGCTTTTTTTTCATCAACGAAATTCAAATGAATCGAATCGAATCGAATCGAATGAATATAGGTGAACCAGATACTGATCTGATGATTCTTTCGAGAAGAGTACGATCCTATAATGATATTAAATCAATTCTTGTATAAAGTTTCGATTCACACTCATTTTTATTCTGTTTGTTTTATATTGCAGTCCGGCTTCGAATTCGACACACGAATGTATTGTTTGTCTTTACGAAAATGAAAGCTATCAATTTATGAAACAGTACGACGAAGCTTGTTATCATGTACAACGAAATGTTTATGATACTTGTGTTAATCGATATGTTGAAATGTCACTGCGAAATTCAATTGCACATCCAATAAAATGTTCTGAACCAAATTGTAGAGTACTATTGAAATCGGATATGATATTTGAAATTCTGAATGATAATAACAATATCGAGTTGCTCGAAGTTTATGACTCTTATCTTGATGAGAAACGTCTCGAAAGAATAAAAAAATTCATTCGTTGTGCACATGGATGTGGTTGAGGACAAATTCATTCTGTTTCTAATCCAAAAGTAGTTTGTATTAAATGTAGACAAAATGACATGTTTTATCCATAAAATTCCATGGCATGATGGAATCACTTGTGAAGATTATGAACGACTAGCACATATAGTTGATCAAAAATCATATGAATACATAAAAAATTATACAAAACAATGTCCAAAATGCCGAGTCAAAATTGAAAAGAACTTTGGTTGTGATCATATGAATTGTACAAAATGTCAAACTGATTTCTGTTGGGAATGTTTATCTATATTTCGAACCTACGATACTCTGACTTCTTGTCAACAATAAAATTACCTGTAGTCATTTCAAACTACGAAGAATAAGACTGAATCATTCATCTTTATGTACTATATTGTAGACAACAATGATTTTATATGCTGATATAATTCTAATATATTTTGTTCAATATTACATAATAAATCCGGAATTTTAAAGATATATTTTCAATAAGCTTTATCGAGAATGCAGGCTGGTGTGAATGTGAGTATGCATGGAGTTGTGATTTTCCTTCACTCATACACCACATCCACCCAAGTCGCATCGAAAGTATCGCCGGTCTTTATCATCTGATCATTTTCAGAAGAGAATTTATGTAAAAAGTAAAGAAACAAACGACAACCTAAAAGATAATCTATGTGGAAAGTACTTTCCATTTCATTCAAGTAGAATTTTTCTGATATTCACGAACAATATCCAAAGTGCTCAGGATCGAACGTTTTTTAGATATGAGGCTGTGCATAGAATAAGTGTCACGCAGTATCACTCATTGGAAATAAAGACTTCAAAGCGTTGAACAACAACAAACATTTTCATGAGATTTTTTAATCTTTTCGATTGAATGAATCAAATAGAAGATAGATATAAGGAATTTCTTATCTCAAAAATTATAAATAGAACGATAATTCAAGAATGAACATGTGACTTCCGATGTTTGAATTTGTCTTCGTCTGCTCACTGTTATTTTCAACGAATGAAATTCGATGAGCATTGAAGACACAAATGAAAGACCACCAACTGTCACTAAGCTAAATATACCAAGCATTACTCAAATCTATCGTCTATTCTACACAACAGACTTCTAATGAGAATCTCGAGCGATGGTGTGTGTGTAGGTGTGCGTGTGGATCTGGGTGTAGGTGTGAGTTCTGTTGAAGAGAAGATCCACACCCACACCCTAGCTCGTGTTTGATTCTAATGTGCTAATATAATTTTCTGTTCTTTCTTAGAATTTGTTTGATGATTAATATGTTCAACTGCATAGAATAGTTCTTCGCTCGACAAGTATGAACATGTTAATTTCTATTTATTGAACATTTTATTCCTAGTCAACAATATCTAAGTAGAATAGTCGTCAACATAGCATTATTTTACAAACTTCTTTATAGTTTATCTAATTTATTCATATGAAACGAAATAACAAAATATAGTATAATAAGACAATAATTATGGAATCCAAATACGCAAATCATCATCACCAAGCATTATATTAACTTTATATTCATCATTTCTATTTAAACCAAATGATTGACGCCGTTTTTCTATGATATAGTTTCGTGAAATAGGAACATCTGGTAAACCATTATGAACAAATTCTACGATCATGAAACGTAGTTTTCTAAAACCCCCAAGAAAAGTATCGATAACTGGTATGCAATAATCATTAAGTGCAAGAACCCGAATTTCGATCTTTGTTAAACATGGAAAACATTGCACAATTTTTGTTCCAGGCTTCGATGAAAAGTACAAGTAATCATCGAATAATCTAAGATGCTCTATTCGACTAAAAGTAAGAGTAAGATGTGGATTGTCGATGACTATAAATGAAACAAGCAACGAAGTACGCATTATAAGTTTTTTGACATTTACACATGCTCTAAAACAAATAAATAAAACAAAGTTATTTTCGATTGATTATTCAATGTAAGATATAATTATGATAGATTAAGATCAGTTTTCTCTTGATTAATATCATCAGTTAATATGAATCCATATGACACATCTCTAACTCAAACATAAAGATATGTAAAACATTCCATCGGTTCTGCGTAGATTTTCCTTAAAAAACTTCTCTCTTACATCAAAAGGAAACCTGATGAAATCAGTAACTCTTATCATGAGACATTTCATCAAACATAAATTTTTCAAATAGTGAATGTACATAACATTACTTTCAATACCTTTAAAAACATTCATTCACATGCATTCAATATAAATTTTCATAAAAATTTAATATATTTCAGCTGAAATCAGCTGAATTTTTGTCTTGAGAACAACTTTAGTATAGCTTTGGATTTATTCATCTATTTACAATAGTTCTACCCATGCCTGATAAAAAGTTCTGATCGCGATGACTAAACCTTCTTCTCATACACTAGATTGAGAGCAGTTATTAAATGATCTAGAAGATCCACTATAAACGAACTTTCTGAAATGCCAGTAGCTTGATCAAAAATTCATAAGACCAGCAATAACTGTTAAAGCTACGAGAAAAATCGATTTATTTAACCATCAACAGTTTATTTTCAGGCAAAACCAATCCTACATTCGAAATCACCATCGAAAACTAAGCGAGAAAACATTTGCGGTTACGAAATCGTTTTAGTTAAAGATGTGAGCAAATGGCGACCACAGAAACAAATCTCATACATGAACTATCTCAGGCTGATACAGGAATCAATCTTTAATGATTAAATATGTTTTACAAAAGGGCGTTTTCTAACTTAGTTTTCGATGCTGATTTCGAATATGACATCGATTTTGATTTAAAATGGGATTTTCTTGGTTAAATAAATCCATTTTGCTCATAGTTTTAATAGTTATTGTCGTTCTTTTAAATTTTTGGTCAACTTATTAGCATTTCAAAAATTTTATTTTTAGTAGATATTCTAGAGAATTTAATTTTCGATTAAGAATTAACCACAAGTTCTCAGTCGATTGTGCAAGAAGAGAGACAAGTCATCGTGATCAGAACTTTTGATCAATTCGAAGTATTTTTTTTATTCTTGAGATAATCGATTTTTCCTACGCTAACTTTTCAGACTTTTATCTACTTCCAATCAATATTGATTACTGTTTATCATAAGAACATAACGATGAAACTATTTTCTATATGCTTTTCCTAAATCTATTATAAGAGGATGAATTGAACAAAATTAATAGTCAGACAAAACAAAATGATTATGCCAAATCGATGAAATATTAACTATAGTCTAGTAGTTCTCGAAATAATTTTCTACGAAATCGTTGAAACTAACATGTTTATTTAAAATTTCCCCAAATAATTAAAAAACTTACAGTAAAATATACGGCACAATATGTAATTGTCTTAAATCATGTTCGCCTCGAAATTCCAAAGTAACAATACTTGATAAATCAATAAGAGATGAAAGATTATTAATATATTGACGTGATTCATTTGTGTAAAAATATCTATAAACTAAAGAAAATAAATGTAAATACAATCAATTCAATGACACATGATTACTCACTAAATGTAAATACATTCTCTACAAACGAAGTTATTGATAAATGTTTCATGAAATATATCACAAGCGAATAAATGTTTCTAAATGGAATATTTGAAGATAATTCAATGGCTTGTCTTTCCATATATCTTGGCATAAAAAATTCTATCGAGTTTATGTGAGATTGAAAGCGATGATCATTCGCATCTGATGAATCTGTTGATATCATTTCGAATGTACTACAACATATATCTGGTATTTCGATATATTTATATCGTTCTATGGAATGTTGGTAGTTCAGTGTGCGCAAAACAATCCGTTTATCTAAACATAGAATCATTAATTTAAAATCTATCAGTATTTTCAACTTAAAAAAAAAAAACTTCAATTTCTTAGCTTCTCTGAATACGTTACAGCTCATTTCTTGATAACAAATTAGATCTGATGAAAACGTGATATGATTTCAATGATTAATAGTTGAAACACAAAAATCTACTTCAACTTTCTCCTCAATTTACTCTCTTCATAATAATATCACTTCAATTAAAATACATGAGATTGATGAAAAAAAACGCATTTTCAAACAAAATATTGAATGCTTTCTTGTTCAAACTTATATCATTAGATTAATCATGTCCAGTTCTATCAACTGATATGCTTTTTCTCTATATTAGCACGACATTTGCATAGCTATTTTCGGGTTACATATCAAGCAAGGAACGACCATGCTGGAATTTTCAGGAATATTTTAAGAATGACAAGGAACTCTGAAGTACAGAAGTGCTTATTTTTTGTCACTTACAGTTATATCTGGTACTTTCCGAAAAATTATCCTCATCAAAAAGAACATATATTGAAGATGTATCGAAAATATTTTAAAAAAATTCCACGAATAATATCTAGTCTTTAGTTTTGATTTGCTTAGAATGACTTTTTTTTTTTAAATATTTTCTTTTAGCATAAAAGGAAAACACCTCATTTTCTTTAAATTTTGGCAATAAGCGACAAGGCTGAGAAAGATCTTGCACATCTTTTCTATTGATTCTACTCTCATTGTCAAAAGTTCATCAAACAAATAATAACATTTCTTTCACTTACATGATATGGAGTATCGGAAGGTTTCCAATCGACTAATAGCCATATGCCAACCATCAAATTGTGTGAGAAAACATCGAAACGAGTCAAGAATCGACTGTAAATCGAATAATCCATCGTTCGTAAGAAGAGATATATGAATATTGAATGTGTTCAAATATGTCACATGACTTATCAATATTTGTTGCCAAATATTTCCATTGAGTAAGACATCAATATATGGTGTATCAAGATATTCAGTGATAAATGTAAAATTAATATCCTGAAGATTAGGCATACAATAAAGAATAAGACTAAGTGAATGTATATCAAACTGTGTCAATATTTGCAAATCAAATTTTTTTAATGATGCTACTATAGGTAAATCATCTTTGTTTATAGATAGAGCATTTGGAATACTAAAAAAAAAAAATGTACATCATTTTATGTTTCATTCTCTAAAAAAAGTGATTGATTCCATTTATTTTCATATTATACAAAACAGATGATTTATAATTTTATTTATTTTAAATAATCTTACTTGATATTGGTAATATATCGTAACATCTCTGAACTTTTGATTATAACATTCAGTTGTTGCAATGATTTGTGAATACGAAAAACAGATATTAGAGAATAAATCGATATCTTATCAAAAGCTCCATAAAACAATAATTTCAGATATGTTAGATTTGTATTTATAATTGTACTTGTTATTAATTCAGGATAATCATAATGAAATCTAAGAGTGGCACAACGAAGTGATAATGGTGTGTTTAACAAAACCATTTCACTGAACAGATGTGCATGATTTCTGGTCAAGTGATCATTTTTAGCATCGTAGAATTGAAATATATGAAGCGATACAAGTTGAGTTTGTTTCTTTAATTGTTTGATGACATTTTCCAGTTTGGATGATGCATCAAGACACCGAAATGTGCACGAACGAAGATTAGAAAATTCATATCGGTCAAAAAGGTACGCAATAATATTTATGTGACCACAGATTTTATCACATATATCCAACGAACTAACTTGATGAGAATGATATGTCAGATGATGAGATAGAAATTCAATTTTATAGCGATAATACATCGAATCGACAATTATATGAAGACGAATATATTTTAGAATAGTTGAAATACGTTCATTAAGAGAAGTAAATGTTAAGAATAGATCGAATGCATTTAAATAATCAAAGATTTCACATAATACTTCATTCGACAAATCTTCAAATAAAGTTCGATTCTTCATTTTCATTGACTGACAAATTGAACTATGAATACATATATATATATATGACATACATTATGAATATAGTATATAAAAGTATAATGAATCAATATGACCAATAGATAAAGCAGTCATTGTCTATGTGACCGATATTGACCACTGATTCATTCGATAACATTTTGGACGATTGAACACAATGGAGAAAAAACATAGTATGAGAAAGAGAAATATGTCGAAAATAAAAATATCGAGAATAATATAATAATAGAAATGTTGATGGATAGAAATGGTAAAAACGAGAGTATATTCAAGTACAAGTTTCTCTCATCCTCATCTTCATCTCATATTTTTCTTTTCGATATTTCTATTTTTAATATTTTTTCCATTCGATATTTTTTTCTTTCTGTTTTTTGTCATCTATTCAAAAAAAATTAGAGTAAATGTTTTTCTTATAATACTCGGTTTATGAGACAAAGCGAATTGGCATGAACACATGTTTGTTTTCTTTTCTTTGTGATCTAATGTCTTTTATTGTCGATTTCTCTGTGAAATCATTTTTTTAATCATGCTCAAAGCTTTCAATCTAGATTTGTTTATTATTATGATGATTAATTATAGAAAGATCTCTCGAATGTAATAGTAATAGAATATGATTGAAAAGTAAAAAAAATGTTGTTATTCTTTGTTAGCCACTTTTATCGATCATATTCCTACAATAGAAGTAATCTATGCTTATCGGTTACTGCCTAGAATAGCGTATCATTTACAACATTCTCATAAATTCATTCTTCATTTCTATCAAATAATTATTATGCATTATTGTTCTAATGGTGTTGTTTTTCGTGGTGTTAAAATTCTACCATGTTTTGTTAAAGAACATCTTTTATTCGAATTTATTCATTTACATAAACATTGTCATTTTTATACTAACGGAATATCACTTAACTTCAAATCTTTTTTTTTTCTAAATAGTGTGAACGATATTTTTGTTGATAATGTCTAGCCCATTTTGTAGCTTTTTTGTGTACTCAAAAAGTGAGTACCCTCTAGAATCGGTCAGTATGTCCGGCCGTCCGTCCGTCCGTCCGGCCGGCCGTTTACACGATAACTTTCGAAAGGAGAGTCCGATCACGATGAAATTTTCTACACAGTTCAGTCTTTACAATATCTCGGTCGAGTTCGAAGATGAGAAGGATCGGCNTCGAATCGACAATTATATGAAGATGAATATATTTTAAAATAGTTGAAATACGTTCATTAAGAGAAGTAAATGCTAAGAATAGATCGAATGCATTTAAAATATCAAAGATTTCACATAAAAGTTCGTTCGATAAATCTTCAAATGAAGTTGAATTCTTCATTTCATTGACTGACAAACTGAACTAAGAATTCATAAATATGACATACGTGGTGAATATAGTATAATAAAAAGTCTAATGAATAAATCGACCAATAGATTAAGCAGTCATTGTCTATGTGACCGATATTGACCACTGATTCATTTCATAACATTTTGGACGATTGAATACAATGGAGGAAAAACAGTATGAGAAAGAGAAATATGTTGAAAATAAGAATATTGAAAACAATCTATTAATAAAAATGTGGATCGGTACAAATGGTCATAACGAGAGTATGTTCAAGTTGAAGTTTCTCTCTTTCTTATCTTCAATTTCACAGATTCATATTCATCTCATGTTTTTCTTTTCGACATTTCTATTTTTGATATTTTTCTTTTTCGACATTTTTTTTCTGCTTTTTGCCATCCATAAAAACAAAGTAAACTTTTTTGTTATATTGCTCTGATTATTAAGGAAAGCGAATTGGTAAGAACACATGCTCGTTTTCGTTCTGATCTAATGTCTTGTATTATCAGTTTCTATATGAAATCCGTTTTTGTCATATTCCAAAGCTTTCAGTTTCATTTGTTTATTATTATCATGATTAGTTATAGAAATTCTCTCGCATGTTATAGCGATTGAATATGATTGAAAGATAAAAAATGTTATTATTCTTCGGTAGTTACTTTCATCGATCCTATTGCTACAAATTATAGTAATTAATGCTTATCGGTTGCTGCGTAGAATAGCGTATCACTAAAAACTTTGTCATAAATTTATCCCTCATTTCTGTGGAATAATAAGTATACTTAATTGTTTTAATGGCATTGTTTTTCTTGCTTCAAAAATTCTACTATGTTTTGTTAAAGAACATCTTTTATTCATATTTATTCATTTACATAAGCATTGTCATTTTTACTGACGAAAAATCACTTAACTTCAAATCTTTTTTTTTCTAAATATTGTGAATGATCGTTTTGGTGACGCTGTATATCCCATTTTGTAGCTTTTTTTGGCCAGTGAGAAAGATGCAAACGATTGATAAAAATGATGATTCACAAATTCTGAAGTAGTTGTAATATACATAGTTCTACCGTTCAAGAAAAGCATGAGCTTTGAAGTTTTGGCAAATTATCGAACATATTTAGTACAACATTGCTACACAGTTTCAGGGCTATAAAGGTATGGGGTGAATGTGAATATTAGTAGGATACAAAGACACACACCCATACCATCAAGATTCGATATTTAGTAAAGTTAATTTTGATTTAAAATACAATAAAAAAAATGAATACAATCCACATTTTCTTGATTCCAGCCACAGACCAAACCAATTAGTTAGTCGACAATGTGAATGAAGACAAAATCTTTGGTTTCCATTCGAGAAATGACGGAATAAATTAGTCTATTCGATTTTACAAACAAATAAGATGTTATAGACTGTCACTTCAAATTCTTATATTTAAGAACAGCTGATCGAAGACTTTTTGTAGTTCACTGTAATTTTTGACAGTAGAAGATAAAAAAAAATCAATAAAAAATCTCAAAATCTATTTGTTTAATTTTTATGGTAAAAAAAATCAGCTCTGTATGATGATAGGTAATTCTCCAGTTCATATTTTAATGTATCTTCCAAAAAAAATTCATTTTGAAGTGCATCTTGAGGGTGTGAGTATGGTTATATAAAGAATACAGGTCTTCACCGTTTGTTCATAGTTCATTACATGCTTCATCGGTTGCATTCTCTACATTTAATTGTGATTTTTGGATATATCTGTTAGATATGCTATTGAATAATATTTTATACTAGATCATTAGTATTAGATGAAGACTATAACTTGGTTAATAATAATATAATTCAGTATTAAGTGCTCAACTTGAGTATACGACTAAAGAAGTATACAGTCAGCTATGAACAAATAGCATAGTTCCACAATGTATCAAAAAGACTTAAACAGTATATCAACATTATGTATCATGGTATGATGAAATTGCTATTTGGATGATAAAAACGTCTATTCTTCTACTGTTCCTATAAATCTACGAAAACTTATGCCTGTAAATTCAGAAGAAAATATGGTATGTAGTAGCATCGATGTATGTAGCACTCATTTGTCATTTGTAGTGAGCGTCATCTATATGTGGATATATGTAATCGATAAAATGTGTACACCAATGATTTTTTGCCTTTCCTGTGTTCTATCGATTGGCAGCAGAAAGATTGATAGATAGTCCTCCCCACAGCGAAAAAAGCATAGCGTTTTAAGCGAATCAATATCAAATGCACTACGCGTGGCGATCTCTTAAAAAAATTAAATGGGCTCAGATTTTGATTAATACTGCAAGATAGAGAAAAAAATCTTCTATCGAACCGTGTTCTTACTTTTTTTTTTTGAAAATGATTAGAACCGAAAAACTCTCGATACAATCTGACTAAGTACTATTATTCTTGTTTTTTATTGGTCGTCTGAGTGCAACTTACTATTGGTCTACTTAACTAATTATTTTCTCCAGAAAAAAAAATAGGCCGGAAAATCTGACTTCATGAGATAATTTATCTTATGTCAAGCTACATTTTGGTACTAAGTAGTCCCTCTGAAAAAGTGATCGAAGTATTTCAGAAATTAGCGCCACTAAATGCATAAGTGTATTCGCCATTTGATATTGATTGGGTTTTTTTTCTCGATTTGTCTGTAGACTAAAAAGAAAAAATGTTGAAAAAGTGAAAAGGATAATATTGGAAGGAAAAATGTCGAACAGAAAAATACCAAATGGGTGAAATGTCTGAAACAAAAATGTCGAAAAATATATTGATGTGAAAAAAATCAAAGAGTTGTAGAAAATAGTGACAATAGAAAGATGATTTATTGTGTACGCTAATACTAACATATGGTAATAGAAACAAAACATAAGTCAGGAGATTAAAACAAAAATAAAATTTAAAAATATTATTTTTCTTATTTTCCAACTATAAATGATAAACGATTGTAAATACAAGGAACAGATGTTTCTTTATTTTTTTCTCGTTTTTTAACTTTGTCAGGAAATTCACGAGCTTCAATATTTTATTTCTCTGGAGGTTCATTATGATCATCAATTATTTTAGATAATTTGCCATTTAAATCTGTAGAAATTTTAGAAGAACAACCGTTAAATGTAAATTTCTATTATTTAGTAGTAATTGTTGTTTTATTTGATTTGAATATATATATTCATTTGTCATTAACAAAAGTTTTTCTTTTTTGTCAATGAATAAATGAAATAGTTGGTGATTTTAATTGAATTTATTCTGTTGACGATGCAGTAGTTGTAGCCATAGCAGTAACACTTTAGTTACATAGTTACTCTTTGCCGCTTTCGTTCATTTTATCTACATCAAGTATTAATCATCACTGTTACTAATGCTGGAAAATTTAGACTAGTAGAAATTATAGGAAAAAAAAGCTTGCTAGCGCAGCTCCTTTACGGCTGAAATGTGGAACTCACATATACACTCTAGCCTCATTAAACTAATACAAAATACGTAAAGTGATAAATCTCTCGTAGACTATAGCTGTTTTGCAGAGTGATCGATGTCTAGAATAATGACCTCTCTATTTTCTGCATTTCAAACAGAATTTTTTATTTTTCTCTACGAGCGCCCTATCTTTTTGTTTGCATTGTTGCTATTCGCTCATTAGTTTTCAT